TATTAATTTTTGTTCAATAAGGTTTTTTTTTTGGGCGCACCATATTTATAGTTTCTAACATTATGAATTTTCATTATGTAGTTTCGTACAGCTGGACCAGAAGTTGACATACAAGAAAAACAAGTAACAATTTTCTCAAATATACACTTTTCAATTATTATTTATTCTTATATTTACATAATTTTTAATTGTAATAGTATATTGAAGAATTCTTTGAGCCCAATTCCATTTTACCAAATGTGACTAATTTTTCAAGTCATAGAGCAAAAGGTAATAATTACAACTTCTTTTAAATCTATTTCTATATTATATATTTATGCTTATTAATTCTTCTTTTCACAAAAAAATTACATTTAAAGAATGGGCAACAGAATTTGAAAATATAAAAGATTCACCACATTTTATGCAATATGGGCCAGAAATAAAGGATGAAATGATGGAAGCGGCTTTCAAGAGAGGTAAAAAGATACATACACACACATATATATTAATTAGAAAATATTTTTAATTTAAATAGATAGTATCCTAATATACATTTATTTTTATTTAAATAGCAAACTGGAACACCGAATTTATGGGAGAATTTCAATCAAACATGAAAAGTCAAATCACAGAAATTCCACCAGAATATGAAGAAGTATTTCAGAAAAATTTTGATTGGGCAAGTGAGTTTGCATTAAAGAAAAAAGAAAAAATCGATCCAACGAGCTGGGAGGAACAATTTGCTGCTGCTCAACGTGATTCAGAAGCCAATAAACAATTTAGTAGTGGTGCGGATGATATTGATGTTTTAGAACATGATAAGAAATTGTTTAGCGAATTTGAAAATATTTGGAAGAATAGTGAAAATAAATATTTAAATGATGATCTGATTGATTATTCAGCATGGGATGACAAATTCCTTAATTTTGAAAATATGAATTCAGAACATGATTTTGGAGAGTACATATTTGAATCAAACAATCCTTTTCTCGAACATTTAAATCCTTTTGAAGAAGGAATGAAAATAATAAATCAAGGTGGTTCGTTGTCAGAAGCTGCATTGGCTTTTGAAGCTGCGGTAAAGAAAGATATTAATAACTCTGAAGCTTGGGAGCGGTTAGGTAGTGTGCAAGCTCAAAATGAGAAGGATGAAGCAGCTATAAGAGCTTTGCAAAGAGCTATTGAAATTGATGGAAATAATTTGACTGCGTTAATGGTAATCTATTTTTGAGTTTTTGAATTTTGGATTTTGAATTTATGGAGAATTAAGGAAAACCTAATTTTTAATATTATTGTTTTCTCGTTTTATAACGAAATAAAATAAATTAAAATACAATAGAATTTGGCAATTAGTTACACAAACGAAGGATTCACAGCTCAGTCATATTTTACACTGGAGCGATGGATAACTGTGAAATATCCCGAGATTGTATTATCTTCAGCAACAATGCATAATTCACAAGTTCTTTTGTCTCGTGTTAAAGAATTGTTTTTGAGAGCTGCAAGGAACGCACCAGAAGGTGAAAACATTGATCCTGATGTACAAGTAGGCTTGGGCGTGTTATTTTATGCTAATGATGAATACGACAAAGCTGCTGATTGTTTTAATACTGCATTGGAAGTTCGTAAAGATGTAAATAATAATCCTTTTTTTTTTTATGGTTTATATTTATTTATAAAAATATGCATTCACACAAATATCTATTTCGCGCACATATAATTAGGATTATCTTTTATGGAATAAATTAGGTGCAACATTAGCAAATTATAACAAACCAGAAGAAGCAATTGAAGCATATCATAAAGCATTATCTTTAAGACCTACATTTGTAAGGGCAAGACATAATCTGGGAATCAGTTGTATAAATATTCATTGTTATCGTGAAGCAGTTGAACACTTACTTGGTGCTTTGAGTATGCATAAGATTGGCGATGATGATAGTAAAAATACTAGTAGATCGCTTAGACTAACCTTGAGTAGAGCTTTTGAAAAAATGGTAAGCTAAATAAGAATATAAAGTTTTTTTTTTTTTCTTTACGAAAAATAAAAGAGTAACAACTTTTTCAATAAATTTTTTTTTTAGGAAAGAAAAGATTTGCTAGACAAAATACTCTCTGGAGCTGATGTTAATGAATTCCGTGACGAATTTGAATTTTAATTAATTGCAAATATACAAGTTTTAATTTAAATTGATATTTATTAATTTTTGATTAATTATGTAATTATAACAATAGATTTATAATGAAATTTTTAACAATTGATATACGTTATCAGGTACAATAACTGGAATATTATGTGCGTGTATGCTGTTATTTATTGTGAATTTGATTTGACTTTTATTGTCTCTCAAATAAATATTTTGATTTTGGAAGATTAATAATAATAATATTGTCGGGAAAATTTTTCAATCGAAATAAAAAATTTGCATTAAATGCATTCCTTATAAATATTATCATCATTATAATTATCATTTTTATTATTTTATTATTTTCTTCTTAAATTATATATCAATCAATGACATTGTTTGATACTGTTAGTTTTTTTTTGGTTAGGAAATAATTAATTTCTTTTTTCATAAACTTTTCTTCAATTCTATTCTCTACAAATATATATATATATATATATATTAAATATTAATACTAATGAAATTCATCTTAATGTTTTTTTTAATCTATAATAACAACAATAATAGTAACAACAAAAATAATAATAATAATAATAATAAAAAGCAAAGAAAAATAAAAAAAAAATAAAAAAATAAAACCAAAAATAATTATAATAAATAAATATTACAACCTATGACAATTTTTAAAGATAAAATATTTTTTTTAATTATTAAAAATAATAAAAGTTTTTAAAATTTTTTTAAAAATTTTTTTAATAAAAAAAAAAGAAGGAATTGAAAGAGTAATTGTAAAGTAATAACAAGGAATTATATTTATAAAATTAAATAAAATATATAAATAAGATTAAAAGTTTTTGTACCTAACTTTTTTAAAAGAAACGAAATAAACAGATTTTTATTATTGCAAATAATAAAGCAAAATAATAAACTAAAAATCTATTATTAAAATTAACTAAAATTAATGATTATATTAGAACTTCCAAGAACGCTCCTATATAATTTAAATAGTATAATAATTAATCAAATTCATATCCCCAATAAATGAATAATTATTTCTCAATATATATATATATGAGTGGTAAACAATACCTGTTATATTTTCTCCTAAACAATTTAGCTCCATCCAAAGTTTTGAAAATAATTTCTGCAGAGCTTGATTCTCGATTTATTATAATAGACTACATACAAAGATAAATTTTTGTTACTAACAATTTAACTGTAACAACTACAAATACTAAATTTTAGTTAAAGAAACTATATCACTAACCAAAGGTCCTCCTGGAACATTTGAAGCCAAAGCTTGAAGCTCCCGTTTCGTGACATTTTCATCAACATTTGAAATAATTAATTTATTAGAATTGGAGCCACCAGTTGATGATGGTGTAGTAGATTGTGGTGCAACTTTTGTAATCGGTTTACCTAAATTCCTAGTATTATTGTTATTATTAATATTGGATGTCGATGATGCAGTAAGTGTGGTATTATTTATAGATTTAGGTTTATTTTGAGATGTCGGTGTCTGTCTATTATTATTGTTATTATTATTATTACTACTATTTCTCGATAATGATGTTGATTGTAAAGTATTTTTCATATCATTTGATTTTATTGACTTATCGTCTTTTTATTGATAAAAATGAGCAATGATGTCTTGTGACAATACGACGTTACACAGAATTATAATAAAACAAAAGATGATCTACATGTAAAATATATATTTCCCATTTTATTAATAATCACCACCATACCTTAAATTTTTTTTAGGAAAAAAAAAGTTGGTCAAAATAAAATAATACTTTTTTATTTTCCACATAAAACATATATACTTGTCATTTAAGCAACCATCAAGTTATTTTCGATCAATCATATTTGTCTCTATATATCGAAAGAAACAAAAACTTTAAAAATGTCCGACATGGATGATTTGCTAGACTTTGAAGATGGTGGAATCGACTTCCCAACTAATGAGAACTATGATTTAACAACAGCTTCAACAACAATAGGTAATATAATAGATGACAAAATGTTTGATTTAGACGGTGATATAAATCTCGAGTTAGAAGCGCAACAACAACAACAACAACAACAACAACAACAGCAAGATGGTGTTAAAAATGTTGAAGTTATAGGTATTGATTCCGAATAATTTAATAATTTGGAAGGAATTAATGAATCGGACGATTCGACTTTCAACACTATTTATTATTAATAGGCTACTGCTAAAATTATTAAATATTATTCTAATACTATTATTACTATAATTTTCTTTCTCTTCCCCCCCTTGTATACATCTTTATTAGAAAAAATAACAAAAATAGAAGTGGCAACAGAAGATAAAAGTGGTGATGATAATGAAACTTTAGTAAAGCAAGATACTTTTGATTTTGATAACTTGGAAGAATTCAATATAAACGATTCAGATTTTCTTAAAAGTTACAACAATATAAATAATGTTGGCGATAATGATGATGATAATAGTAATAAAAATAAAAATAGTGCTGGTGAATATGATGATGAACTATGGAATAATGAATGGAATATTGACTCAAATGATTTACAGACTAAAGATATATCATCATCATCATTATTATCATTGTCGGAATTAAGCGAGCTTAAAAGCTTTGATAAGAATGTAAACGAACAAGAAAAAATTAGTGAATCTTTAGAAAATAATTCTTTGGAAAATAAAAACATTGATAATGATAATAACAATGATAATAGTGATAATATTGACGAATCATTACTAAAAAAAGATGATGGTGATATTAAATCATCAAAAAATTTAAAATCTTCTGAAAAAGAAGAAGGTGAAATTTTAAATTCAAATGATACCACCAATAGTAATAATAATAACAATAACACAAACAATGCTAACAAGCAATTGAAACAAAAACAAAAAGATTCATCTCAACAGCAACAAACGTCATCGCCTCAAAAACAAATCCCATCTCTACAAGCAGCACAACGTCATCATCAACAGCAACAACAACTTCATTTTCATCAAATGCAACAACAACAGCAGCTTTTAATTTTACAGCAGCAACAATTATTGGCAAATCAAAATGCACAAAATTTTCGTGGTCGTAATTTAAGAAAAAATAATGATTGGCGTCAACCCAATCTTAATGCTGGAGCTTTTCTAAACGGTGTAATGTCTCCGTTTCGCCCCGGATTTGCTCCCGGTATCGATGGAATCCATGGGTAATTAATCGATTAATTAATATTTATTTATTTACAGCTCAATGCATTAATTGTGCTATGAATTGATTGATTATTGATTTATATTTTATATTTTCAAGAATGCCAATGGGTCAAATGCCAATGGGAAATCATTCAATGATGCCACCGAATTTTCACAACATGGGTAATTTATATATACATATATATATATATATAGATAAATATTATCGATTTTTTTTTTAATGGATATGACTATATTTATTCATCTATTTTTTGAATCAAAATAATCAACAATTCATTTATTTATTTTTTTCTTTTCTCTTCTTTCTTTGCCCATCTGTTCAATATTAAAGGACAAATGATTGGACCAAATATTCATGTAAATCCGAATTTTGCAAGATTACGTCCCCATGTTCTCCCATTTGGAAATCCTTTAATGCAATATCCTGGTGGGCCACATATGAATATGTTACCGTATCAAGGTCAAATGGAAATACCACAATATCACCCTTCGATGAATCCAATGGCTGGTCGAGTTGGTGCTGGCGGTAACAATAACAACAATGGTGGTAATAACAACAATAATAATAATTTTTATATGAATAATTCTAAAAGTTTTAATTCAGTATATATTAACAATAACAATAATAATAATAATAATCAAAATTCTATAGCTAGAAGGCAGATGAATTCATCACCATCTGGTGCTAATCAACAACAAAGACATCCATCATCACAATCACAGACTTCGTCTTCATCCTCACCCTCAAAAAGAAAGTTTCCTGATAATGGATTTGAACAAAAAGAATCAGACAATAAACGATCATCCACTTCAAATAACAATTCTTTGTCTCCTAATCCTAATACCACCGCTACAAATGGAAAATCAACATTTCAAGAGACAAAATATAATAATAGTAATAATAATGGTGGCGGTGGTAGCGGTAATAATAATAATACATATAAAAAATCAACCTTTAAACTATTTTATTGATAAAGAACAAGCTGGATTATCTGGAGGAAAAAACTTTCCACCACTTTACTTCATAATGTACACGAAGAAGTAAAGCGAGAAGTTGATACATTGATAGAAAAGGCTGAATACTATAATTTGACTTTACAGAAAATTAAAAAAAAAATGTGCATTGTGCATTAGTGCGCATGCGCATCATGCATATTATTAATATGCGCACGAAATTTTAAAAATTCTCATCTCTACTTCTAGTATTACTATCCATTTCTTCTTGTCTTCATACAAACCTATCACATGAAAATCAGATTTTTTTTTGAAAATGTCAAATTCAAAAAATTTTTTTTCGACTATACAAGGAATACCCAAATATTTCAAAAAAGTTTATTTTTTCCATGTTCCATCTAATTTAAAGGATATTTTAACTAGACACACTACCAGTACTTTTAGTATTAGAGTAAGAATATCTCAAAATTCCATTTTTTGTCCAAATTTACCTTTAGAAAACGATATATCATCAAGTAATAAAAATGGCTTATATAATAGTATTTTTAATGGTTTTAAATTTTTCAGAGGATCAAAAATAAAGAATGTAATTTCAGTCTTTAAAAATAAGAATGCTCACTACCACCACTACCACCACCACCATTATCATCAACGCTTTCATAAGCAACACCAAACATTTAATAATTTGTATAGTTTATTTTTAATAACATCTTTTCGCAACGCTTTCACATTATTGGCCTCAAATCACAATAATAACAATAATAGTCCATCATCATTATCTCTAATGGATCATGAAGATTTTAAAAATACAGAATCACAAGAAATCATAAAATCAACAAATTTTATCAAAAGATTAATTGATTTTATATCAGATTATATTATTGAACCAATACTAATAACATTTAGATTTATTTATTTGTTTGGTTTATTTTTTCCATTAATTATTGGGTCACCGTTAATATTTGTTGGAAAGAGAATTCCAGAATATTACAATGAGAGAAAGGGGACATTGTATTGGTATGATATGTTAGTAAGAAGAATGGAGATTGCTGGACCAACATTTATTAAACTTGCACAATGGGCAGCTTCTAGAACTGATATTTTCCCACAAGAAATGTGCCTACGTCTTTCTAAACTTCATTCAGCAGTGGATCCTCATCCATTCGAATTTACAAAGAAAATAATTGAAAAATTTTTCAACGAACCTCTTGAACAAGTTTTTTCAGAGTTTGATCAAATTCCAATTGGCGTTGGGGCTATTGCACAAGTATTTATACTATTCTTCGCCCAAAGGGTTGAATAATGATGATTATGATAATTTATTATTT